TTATAGTATTTAATGTGCTCTTTAATATGGTAGTAAAAATGTCCGATAAAAATTTAATAAAGTGTAACTTATAGCGCCTTGAAAGTCATGGAGGCAAAATGACTTTTTTTTGCCCCCCCCCCCTGTATAGGGCGATCTTTCATCAGTGTTCAGAAACAAAAAGGAATATCTGCTAATAGGGGTTACAGCATAAAAGGTAAACAAATCGTCAGAAACGTCATGAATAGGGCCCCTACTGGTTCTAAGCTTTGTACATACTTAACCGCATGCCTCTCCCAATGCAACTGAACAAGGTGGTCGCTGCTCCCTCCAAAAAAATAAAGTTTCTGCGAGTAACATTGCAACACCATGAAGAAAAAAAACCTGAAAATTGAAAAGCAATGCGGTAGTCAACAAATGGGGATAAATAGTCGACCAAACGCACCATTATGCAGCGATAAAGAAATGAAATGAGAAGGGTGGAGATTGCCTTATGTGGACAAAGCCTGGTAGAGGTATAGTGCCTGAGAGCACACACTCTGAAGCTGGACACCTCACTCGTCCCCACTCCCCCCCCCCCCCCACCTCCTCCCTTCCATGACTGCAAATCATGTTACCTCGTGCGAGGAAAGGACTTCTTACACCAGCTAGCCGCGGAATGTGTGCTTAACAAGAAAAATGTAGCAGCGACGGCTGGCAGAAACGGGAGAGATTCACATATCGGGGACAACGTATAATACCGTAAGCAGACACCATATTACCCAGCTAGGACGAGCGCGAACATGCTTCTCCATGCATCCAGCTGGACGTGAAGTCCACTACCAGCGGTGAACATGATCCTCATGACAGGTGTGTAAATAAGCTCCCAATCTATGAGTCATTACTGCTCACAAAGCGGTATAGCAGTCCCTATAGCTCTGTCGGCAACATGGGCGTAAATGTGCCCCCCACCCCTCAAAAAAAAGAATAACCGAGCATTGCAACTTCACGGAGAGTCGAAAACTTAGAGAGGCCGCAAAAGTCATGGCGGAAGCCGAAGCTCGGATTTAGCCGTAAATCGGAACCAGCTCCAAGGTTCGAAGCTCATCGGAAGTCGGAAGCTGTTTCCTAATTTTCTTTGAAATAGAACATGAAAACATAGAATGAATGAAAAATTTCAAGATCGAAGCATATGTTACAGAGAGCGTGAGAAATAGGAGACAGGGTACATCATTGTTGGGAGAAACCCACTGACGGTCATACTTGGTCGTCACCACTGGGGCGGAGGAGGAGGAGGGATCAAATCCTCCTGTGAAAAGAATTTCTCTTTCCGCGGCTCAGTAACTTTTTCTAAGAGGCAGATATGGAATTTGGGAAATTCTAGCAAGATGGTGGGTAAGATAGGGGAAGGGTTCGCACGGGAATTGGGGGTTGGGGGAGGGGGTCGCAAGGGGTTCTAATGACGCCACTATTTCACAGACCGCGATGCCGTACCCTGGGAAGAGGACCGGAAGAACGTTTATTGTTGATTTTGCTTTCAGAAATGTTAGCCCTAAGTCTTGGGTCGCGTCGGTGACTAGGTAGTTTTACCTGAATTATACTTGATAGGTCAGAGTTTCCATCTCGTCGGACGTCGTGGGAGGGTAGGGTCATATTGACGAAAAAATTTTCACCGTTTAACGATATCCTCGGCTCACTCGATCTCGCTGACCTTCGAATTTTAACGATAAATCAGGGTTGCGCTAAGAATAGCGAAACAATCGTAGTGCAAACTCATTATCGACACCCACATGTGTTTGTTTGACGCGTAGGAAACGTCTCTTCCAGTGCGTTTGCAATCGACAGCTTTGGCTGCCATTGGATGTACTACGTAAATTACTTTTTCAACGCCCCCTCACATAAAAAGATTAGGGAGCTCTAGTGAGGGGAGTAATACTATCATTATGGGACATGTCGCACTTCTTTCCACCCACGCTCATCTTTCTGTCATACTCAGGTCACGAAAGAGTTTGGGCAACTTCAGAACGCAACTCGAAGACGTCCATTCCACGTAATTCCTTTGTTTCCACAGTTTTTTGATCATTCATTCAAGCACTCCCAGTGTTGGTGGATTATTTCCGCATAGTGAGTGTATTTTTCCGGCCTTCGAGGAATTCCATTTCCTTTTCGATCAGAATTCAGTTCTGTATGGTAATAAAGCACACATGCAAGCAGTCAGTCATTTGTTTTTGCCAGGGAAAACGAAAATAAAACAAGCAAAAAGAAACAGAAGAAAGAAATCAAGAAAGAACTGCTCAAAAATAAATTTTCTAACTTATTGCCTACAGCAAAGTTCTTTCAAAAAAACACAACGGCGGCTTCGTGGAGGGGGGGAGGGGAGGCACCGAACAGCATCAGTGTGAAGCCAGTACAATCCGTCTTGTCATGACATGCAAATTCTTGTTAGAAGTGACCCATTGTACCACTACCCAGCTTCACAAGAGTAAACAAGTCTGAGATCTGTTAGTCTACATGAAATAGCACAGCAACTAGCGAAGGTGCCAACTACCCCTCCCAAGCCGAGCAGCGCCAAAACCACAAACATATCCACGCAATTCACAAAGCAGCCTGCTGAGGCCTGTAAAGAAGTTTTCGATGAACTGAACCACTACTACAAACCGCTGGAGGCGAAGCTGTAAATTTCACGAGTCGGCGACGGGACGTTCAAAACAAACGGAAATTGGAGCGTAAAATGGGGTAAACTCCAACAGGCACGTGGTTACTCAGGGGAGTGAAGATGCTTCTACCTCGTTGAGTAAACAAGGCAAATACAGAAACTATCTCTACATTCCGAGCAGCATGATACTTATGAACCTTCATTCTCTCAGTGGGCTTTTGACACCCAGCGGGTGTCGTAATCGTCATGAGCCATACTTCCTGAATTTTCTAAGCCAATTTTTTTGGTATATTTTTCTGCATTACCGTGAACAGTCACAACTGAGACTACTAGTTGATAATTTTGCTGCGCCGAAAAAGAACCTCCTTCTGTACAGCACGCACTACTCTGGGGAAAACTCTGGTACGACCTTATTTCTTCCATCCCTATCACCATCCTACCCACTATTTTCCCAAAATCTTCCAAATTTCCACCAATTTTTCCCCATGACAAACCGCCCAATCGTCGAGCGTGAGAGGGGCTGGGGGGGGGAAGGCCGGGGAAGAGTGGTTGGGAGGAAAAACCCAGAAAAGTCAACAACCGAACATTCCTCTCAAATAGAACATATGAACTTCTACCTCCACCGACAATACGACCCCCCGCTGGGGTTTACAAACGTATCCCGTGGCTGTCCTACGTGTCTTATCTACAGAAATGCACTTATCAGAAAATTTGGGTCAGTGCAACCCGAGGTGGCCCTTCTCCCGTGTAAGGCAGAAACATACAGCAAAAGACCTTGGCCACACGCAAGAACCACGCCAAAGGTGCCCATTCGAGCAACTCAAGAACACGGTGAATGTTTATGAAATCGTGGCCGACCTCCACTGTTCGCACTGTCCGTCGGATTAATTCTAAGGCTAAGTGATTCTTCTATTTTTCTTATGCCAGCTAACTGAAGCCACATTTGTAAGAGAGGACAAAAAACTGACTTCAATCTCAACCCCCCCCCCTCAAAAATTACTTCGAGTAGCACACTTAAAACTGAAAGAGTTCGAGATAGGGAACCGCACTGAGATAGGTGCAAGCGGAGGCATCGCATCGGGCGGATGTAAGTGGTGGGTCGATGCACCCCGAGATTCGTCCCTCTGGTACGACCCTCTCTTTCCATTCACCGACCCTCTGACGAGAGCTGATGTTCAGTGCTCATCAATTCCGAAGCCAGGGCAGCAAGCATTCGATGGGGATGATTTTGGTCGAGCTTTTACGACCCCCCCCCCTTTTTTTCAGGGGCTGGTACGACCCCCCCCATGGCTCCTACGATGGCTGACATGGCTGACTATGGTTGTGGTTTATACTCGGCGAAAAAGTTGTCGAGCGGGGGTATGTAGTAAGCAGTGCGACGTACATGGTACGGGCGTACATACTAGCTATAAACACAGGTAAATTCATAAAAAATCCACCAAGTGAACCACATAATTCCTAGCCAGAAATACGACCCCCCCTCCCCACAAGGACCAAATTACGACCCCCCCCCCTCCAAAACGTCCGCAAGGAGGGAAAAATCAACTATAAAAATAAATTTTTCCCAGCCCAAATACGACCCCCCTTTTGACGGCCAAATACGACCCCCCCCCATAGGGAATCCCCAACCAATGCTGTGCCCTGTTCCAAGTATTTTTCCATTTTCTCCACAAGAGAACTGGCAAGGAGGTCTTCTCCGATAAACTATCGGAACTATTATTTATATGTGCTGTGGTTACAGCCACCACTTAGCAAAAAATCTGACAATATAGTCGCGTGAAGGGGGAATCGCGAAACTTACTAACTATCCGGGAATTTTATCTTGGCGGGGTCGGAAAATCTTCTCCGAGGCCATAGAGCGATCACCTCCCCACCGACCAGGTACCACCTGCATGGAAACGTTGCGTGGGAGGAATCCTGCGCTGAGGGGAGGGTGATGGGGGGGTCGTAAGTGACGAGACCTCCAACGAGGAACGGAGTTGTGTTTGCCTAGTCGGAGAAATTGTTTTTCAATCATTGACTTTTCCCAGTTTTCTTTTTCGTTTCATGTGCGCTATAAGCTCTAGTGCTCTTCTCCCCTCCCGTGGGACTTAATGGCACTTCTCTCTCGAGGAAAAAACTGGAAAATTTTTTGGGAAATGGTAGCAAGTCAGAAGAGTTTTGGGAAGATAATAGGCAGGATGGGGAATGTGGATACGGGCGCTCCCAGAGGATCAAAGTTCGGGGGCTTTTACAAAATTTTGTTTCGTTAATGAGGGCACCTCTTGAACGGGATTCTTCAATGACTACGAACCCTGGTCTGAAAGAAGAAGCTATAAGAATAGCATGTCCCAAGGCGATTAATCACCACTTCTCTATCTTTCGAACATAGTGACGAAATAGAGCCACCAACAAGCAAGAGAAAATCTTAGGTTAGGGAAAAGGACAATAGATCACGGACAGCCTCGATATGTCAGAGATGACTTCAAAAAACGCCCACTTCGAACACCAGAACCTCTGACAAGTAAGACATAAAAACACATGGCAACATCTGTCACCTACCCAACCATCACGGAAGACTACTGGAGGAAGAGACTACTGGAGGGACAGGCCAAAAATCTCGCCTAGGGCCCTTTCAGCAATAACGACTGTCAAACAACGCTAGGTAGGTTATAGTTTTAAAGCCGGCAATTTTAAGATATTTACTCTCGCTTCATAGTACTTTGCTACTGATGACCAAATACCGCTGGAGAAAAAACTGGTTTTAGTGGTACGAGGTAGAGCAGGGATTGGGGGGTGTGTATATCTCGTTCTGTGTGTGAGGGGGATCAAAAGAGGGACAGCAGCTAGTGTACTGTGTACTGTACTGTTGAGCACAGGCTAATGCTTATGCTTTACGTTGACAGCACGTATAACAAGGAGTTTTAAATCAAATAAAACAAACAAGAAAAAAGTGAAGGGTCCAAAGTACAAGAGAGCAAAGTAAAGCACACATTAAAATGCAAACCACACTCCTACAACGGTTCAAGGCACATCCCGCGATAAAAAATAGTGGGTATTGGAGCCCAAATTAAGGCCTTGCTGGCTGCGGATCTGGGCGTGTGGATTTGTGATGGCTTGGTTTTCTTTTTTGTTCTGTTATTTTTTTTTCTTCGCTGTTAAGTCCTTACCACTCTGTTGTTGGTGAGGAATAGGCTGGTGCAGCCGCAATCCTAGCCTCCTTACCCACCCTAGCATTCACAGCGACCAGTACTGTACCAACAACAGAGTGGTAAGGACTTAACAGCGAAGAAAAAAAAATAACAGAACAAAAAAGAAACGCTCTAGATAGAAGCCCTAGATAGGATACGAATTCGCACGACACACGGCGAAGAGGAGACGTATTTGGACGAGTTTTCACTTGGTATCATCTCTTTTCCCTTGAAATAAACTGTTGTCATCAGAGTGGAGAGTTAGCGGCGGGACAACTGCAGCCGTCAAGAACGCGTGTGGTACGGGGCGGTGGGCGGGGTATGCCTCCACCAGAAGCGAGTCCACATTACGTATTTTCGATCCGAAAAAAGCGTACACATTTGCGCCTGTGCAGTAGACTCCTTGTTCGCAATTTCGAAGCTTGAGGTGCAGACTTTTGATCCGGCTGGTAGTATGGGCGGGGTCACTCGGCCTTTCTCATTGATGGGCGACGATCAACCAATGAAGAAAGCGCAACGGTCCAAGTGACACCGCCCACAGGACCAACGCGGAATGTGTACAGCTTGAGACTAGAGTTTCTACATGCTTCAGGGATCTACGCAAGGAATACAGCCAGGTACATGGAGTAAAGTTCCAGATGCCGAAAGCAGGAAACTAAAGGTCTCTAGTGAATTCCGATATCACGAGAACTTCTATAAAAAGAAGCAAAATCAATTGAAAATGACAAATTTTGCACTTTTAATCTAATCAACAACATAAAGAGCGCACATTTTTACAGAATCCAGAGAATTAATTGCTTAAATATCGACTTCGACGTGACCTCAAGCAGGTACACCAAATGGCGCCAAAAATGTTGTGGCTCTAAAAGCTAAAAGGATTGTGGCTCTAAAAGTGACGAAGTTCGAGAGAACTGCTCCCACCCTTTTCCTGATAATCCTACGGTAGCGAACAAAAACGTTAAACTCATTTTCGCCTGCATGTACCCCTTTAACACGCTGAAACTCGTTTCGGAGCATTTCCCAACGGTTGTGTGGCTCTTCTTATTCGATGGCGCCATTAACCTTGTGGGAGAGGAGAGCAGTGGGGAGGGGCATCAAAGGGAACAGTGTGAATAAGGTCAGAAGTAGAAATTCACTCTTTTTCAATGGTTTACCCACCCCGAAGCCTCCCCCTCCTTCTGGTGAATCCGAAGCCCCACTCCCACTGGAGGATCACACTTTTTTTGCGGAAGCCCTTTGAATGACCCCCAAGTTTATCAGTGCCTCTAAAAAGTGAACTCTCAATGCTATGTGCAGAAAAGAAATTATGTTCGCATCCACCCATTGGAGCAATTCAGTGCAAGATACGACCCCCCTAGCGACCAAATACGACCCTCCTCCCAGGAAATCCCTATGTACGACGTGCCCCCGATGTTCATTCGACACTAAAATAAGAGCTCCTCATTTTTTTTCTTCTTCTGCTACCGATTGAACCATCTTCATCACAATGGCTTAGTCAATTACCACGGAGGCAATCATGAGCGCGTAAAACGAGCCGCTAGCCACTTCATCGGGGATAATTTGAGTTGAAAAAAACTCGCAAGCTGGGGAGGGGGGGGGGTGAAAGAGCACTCGAATGAGTGAGTCACTGTGTAAAGCTGTAATTGTACGCAATGACAAACCCTTGAACGAATTAGTCGATTAAGCTATATCGAAGCTGCTTCACCCCCAAGCTTGTGCAAAAACCCTCACTTTCCCCTCATCCCGAATTTTCTCCATAGGGTACGCCCACTCCCCTTTCACAACCTCTTTCAAAACTTACCTCCCCTCTCACCATCTTTCTCCAAAGAAGCCTGCCGTGGAACAGAAGGTGGAGGGGATCTCCGGCCAACTATCAGAAATCAGGAAACGTTGTACGCTGGAAAATCCCAAGTATGAAAGGGCGTACATGGTCGCGCTAGTAAGGGGGCAACTTTTCCGAAAAAGTTATTGATTTTTCGCGGGTATTCCCGCGTCTTTTATCTCCACCTACCCCCTTGCTCCTCGCCCGTCAGTTAAATGTTAGCTAGGATAGGAAAGGGGGTAGTATGATAGGGGAAATGGAGGGGGGGGGTCGTCATTCACAGAAATTCCGCCCAGTGACAGGACCTGCATCCGCAGAAATGGTGGCTTTCAGCGCAGCCAGCAAAACTCGGGATATAGCGCGAATTAAACAACAAAAATTAAAACTCAAAAAAGATGAAACAGTAAAGTATGACACCCTCCCCAAAGAGAAAAAAAGACCCCCCCCCTCCTCGTTGTGTAAAATGTGTAAAACACAGCAGTGGTATTTTTTCATCCGGTAGTGGGAGGGAGGGTCTCGTAATGAGCCTTGAGCGCGGTTGGCACGATAATTTGGTACTTGTTTAAAGTGGTAGTAGGGGTGCTATATAGAGATAAAATGGCGACTGCAAAGAGAGGCCTCCACTCCTAATGATTTGAGAAACAATTTCGGACGAGTTTCCCGTAGGCATCTTGCCAATAACCGCTACGGTAGATATGGCTGCATGTATGCATGTATGCATATATCCACGCGGCACCGCAGCCGCTTCATACCAATCCCTTCGCTTCATAATTTACTTAGCAAATGAAGCAATACGAGCATCAGGAACGGTCGTCCATTTGTGGGCGGGCGGGCGTGGTGGGCGTTCGGGTCGGTATGTTGTAGCTTGATAGGGCCTTATAAGGGCACCTTCCTTGGAAAAGGCGCTACGCAGCGCCTGCTCAGGGTCGCGGAATTCCGTCCTGCCAGGCGTATTAATCCTACTTGGTTTCAGGGATTTATCGTGCCAACTGCCTTTGACCCATCGGACACCGATGGGTGACCATCAGGAACAACAGATGTCACAAATCAAAACTTTTTTCGGGAGTCAAGCATAATCCCAACGTACTTGACCTTGAGAGAAACCCCGGTGTGCCTTGATCACAGCAATCTCAGTTTCGCGCAAAGAGTTGCTCAACTACCCCATCCTAGCCGACCAGCGCTCGAAAAACCTATGTTTCTCTGCAATATAGAAAAATGAAGAGGTACTTCACCTTGCCAACCTCTCACAACCACTACAATTATACAGCCAACATCTATTTAGCCTTAAAGTTCATTCCAAGCCATTCTTCTCTCAAAGCGACAACCAGCTGCGATAGTCTAGCCTGCTACTACCAAAAAACCGACAATCAATAAAGTGCTTCGGCCGAAATTGCTGGACGTACGTCAGGCGAGATGCATCACAACCCACACACTCAGCCGATAGTGCATCGCTTGTGAAGTCTTTATGAACTCATCAAAACTGATTACAACTGATAATTTGGGTAATTTTCACAGACCTCACATAAACACGCACCTGGACAAAGGCACCCAAAGCACATTTGGCTAATTCTGGGGAATTATCTGGGTATTTCCAGCCATAAATTACCTCCTAGTAGCGGACAAAAATTGGAATAATTTGATAATGTATTCTATGCTTCACTAAACAGCCGATGCTGCGCTCAGGGGAGATTCGCGTTTTAGTGGAAGGCAAATCAAAACAAACCCAGACTGAAACTACTTACGTCCAACAGCGAACGGGCAACTATCGCCGTCTGGGAAGCGACGATAATCAAACAAATTCTAATGCGATTTCGCGAGCAAACAATGAGAAAACTTTAGCGATTGAGAAATGACGAACGGAACAAAGTGAAACTCCGCGTGGAGACGTCTATGACGTGGTGTCTGTCAGTAAAACGTGCGATTCGATGGACCCTCCCCTCTCTTTCACCGGAAACGCAATCGATACGTGTGCGTGTGCGTAGCCTCCTCAGCTCTCCACACACACTCCTCTACAGATGAACCCATCCACACTTATTCTGACATACAAATACACACCTACATTCAATTTTCCAATTCTAGTAATTACTGCAGTACATCCAACTATCCCACTACTTCCGCATGTCATTCCCACTACATTTCACCATCAAGTGCACCAGACCTTTGAAGAAATTTTAGGGCAAATGACGCACTTAGCACTATAAGCCAAGGTCACCAAGATATAACGAAACTACCGAAAGCAAGACTTTACTGGGGAACGGGGCACGTCGTACGCTCGGTATCCCCACCGAAGAGATCCTCAATGGCCGACGTGGTGATCCCTTCGATGGGGATCCCCAGCGGCTTTTGCTTGACTGAGAGAGCGGGAAGAGGAGGGGTCATAAGTGCCTTTCAAAAAAATGTTTCCGATTGCTGACTTCCTCTGTTTCCCCTCTTTTGAATGCGCTCTATCTTCCCGCTGGGCGTTAGTTTCCTGTGGGGAAAACTAGAGTCCCCACAAATTTTGAGAAAAAGATCCTGAAAAAGTGGTAGGAAGTTGTTAGGATTCAAGGAGAAGGCAGACACGATAGGGAATGAGCAGGAGAGGTCATGTTTCGCAAAACCCCTCTCCAACAGCATATACCCTAATTGAAATTTTTTTCTTATAGCACTATTTGAAAAATTCCTTGTGCAAAATTGGGATTCACAGAAAAGAAGATGAGGAAGGTCGGGTCTGGGAACGAAAGCTGTTTAGAGTAGGGAGAAAGTTTATCCGCGCAAGATAGTTTTTCTGGTGTTTCGCATTGCAACAACTCCAATTTTTCTCGGGGAGGGGGAGGGGGCTTTTGGATCCCTCTGATGATATCGCTGTAGCACATGATATGCGAACCTGGTCGTTAGACTATAGAAATTCCTTACTTGTTAGGACATTTTATCGGATACTATATCGTAGTGACAGATGTTAGAAGATTTTACATGAGGCGGCATGACCGAGGAACGCCCTGCCGGTCGGGGAAAATTGTGCAAAACACGACTCCCTCCCTCAAAATATCCTCCTTTGCTACGACCTACCATCTTCTCGAGTGCTCCCGAATTTTCATCACTTTTTCACTAAAGAACTGCGCGGGAAGTATGTGACACAAAAAAGAGAAAAACCAATGAGCGAAAACGTTTTTCCTGAAGGCAAGATTCTGCTCTCTTCAGCCACCAAATATGACGCCCTGCCCCCCCCCCCTAATCACGATACATCAAAGACGAGTTCCCCAAGTGAGTATAACCATTGCTACCGCGAACTGCGATGGCGCTTCCCTTTTACCCAACTTTCTCCTCCTGTCTTTCCCAGTACTCCCGACCTGTCCTTCGAAACCCGAAAAAATAGAACACCAGTTCTAGGCTAATACCCTGAAAGCATATTTTTCCCAATATTTCTGCCCTGAGTTGTGTGTAAATGTTTCCAGATAATCGGCTCAAAAGCCTTAAACGGCATATGCGAAGAATACCTGTGCTCAACACTATCAGGAAGCCCCCTAATAAAAGAAATATCTATAGATTACAGTAAGACAGCGAAACTGTAAAGAATAAAAGAACGGCAGAAAGCGCTCTAACCGAAAAAAAGTCGATTCTTCAACAGGATAGATAGCCAAAACAAGGAAACCTCTCTCCATGGATGAGAAAGAGCTAATTCTCAGCTGGGATTCCTTGGGGATCAATTTGTACCAAGCGAGGGAACAACGTAGATGGATGGCATCAATTCTTCGAAGAAATATGCAAATAGTGAAAACGGCAAAAAGATATAGTATATGCAAAAACGAAAGGACAAAGTTTGAACCGTTGACTAATCATTTTTGAGATGCGGCATGCATTCTACTTTCATCAGAATCGTAGTAACTTGATGGACGCTATACGACCTATACAATCAGGGCACCTTCTGTCCTGGGAAAAATTCGGTGAATGTACGACCCCCCCCCTCTCTTTTCCTTTTCTGGCACGCTCCCTTCGCCATGCTACTTACCAGCCATTCTCAAATTTCCCAGTTACCCCCCCCCCCAACCCCCTAAAACTGCTCTCGAGCGGAGGGAGGGAATGGGGGAGAGAAGATGGTCACCAAACTACTGCTTTGAACTATCCGAAACAGTAACTGATAGAGCTTTCGCTGAGCCAACTTGTAGCAAGGGATGAAAATAGCGCGCTTGGGCTCGTGAAACGAGAAAAATCTACTTCAAACAAATTTTTTCAGACTGACTCCTTTCCTCCGGTGACCAAATAGGACCGCGCTGCTGGGGATTCCCCAACGTACGACATTTTCTGCAATCAACACCACTGAGTCTCCGCGCTGGCCGATGTACAACTGAGCACTTTTATACTCCCAGGCGAGTGCGATATCGATTTACCGAAGGTTGAAAGCCCCCTGCCTGGCCCGAGTGAGAGCCTAGTAAGTAGAAATAAAAAGCGGGTTCTAGTCAGTGCCGCCAATCCCATATACCACCTTCACCAGAAAATAAAAAGAAAAAAAAATCAATTGCTCAGCTCTTTAGCATCGCGTCAGGAGTCGTTTGAAGCTGAGAAACTGCTGGATGCATTGGTTTTTCACCCTCAAGACGTTTCGTAATTGAAGGCGGAATTCGTGTTAAGCTTCTGAGGAATGCTCACTAATCCTTAACGAGCAAGGCAGCATGCACCAAAGGGGACACGAAAAACATGACATGTGACTTCTGGTGGCAAAAAAGAAAAGAATAGAAAATTGTGAGAGTTTAAGAAGACAACGAGCTCGACAAGACACACTTGTGACGAACAACTAAAGATATCCGAAAGCAATTGGTTCCCACTGAACAGCTGACACACTCACACAATGTCCTTTCAGCAATTTCAAAACAACTAACCGGAATTATCAATGATTGGGAAGCACAGGATGTTTCTTGTATGGAAGCCGGTTAATTGATCGACACGTGCGTAAAAAAATGGACATCTGAAATGAGAAGAAATATCTTGGAGAATGACAAAATTTCCGGGGCTGTTCGCCTCGGGAAGTAAGGTGGGGGAGAGGGGGAGATTAAAAGAGGCCTCGCGCAAAACTGGGGATACTGTCAGACAGCCTCCCGTTGGGAAGGAGATTTTTGCAGAATTCAAACCCACCTGTGAATTCCCTCTTCTTTTATAATCCTTTCTTCTGCCTGCTACTTTTCGAAAACTTTCCACCTTCCTACCGCTTTTCCAGCTAGATAATGCATGCAAGGCGCTGGACAGATTTTTTTTCTCCAAAATTTCCCCTTTTCGCCAAAAAACTGCCATACGAGGCGGAGGGGGGGGTAGTAGAATGCACCAGTGCTGGAGGAAATGGGATTTCCTCTTGATGGAAATCTCCCAGCGTTTGGATAGCTTACGCGAAACAAGAAAAATCAACTATCAAAAAAGTTCTCAGGGTTGATGATAGCGACCTCAGTGACATAACGACCTCAGCCACCAAACAGGACCCTCCCGCTGAGAATTCCCAAGCGCACTACCTGGCTGGAAATTATGTGAAGCGGAGGACCAAGAAAAATTAGCAGCCAGAAAAAAAGAAATGTTCTTCTCGAAGGCATGTACGACCCCTCCCTCTAGCGACCAAATGGTCCCTCGCTGGGACTCCCAAAGACGTGCCCGATTCTTATTCTCACAACTAGGCTGGTGTACTCATCTTCTTTACTGACACTACTCTTGCACGAAGTGTTCTTCAAATGCCCCCCCCCAAGGCTAATAGCGCCGAAATCCTTCTAGCCCACATCATCTCAAAGAAAACTGAATTTATAAGGAACCTTTTAACATCCCGAACATTCATCATTGATCTTGTTGTTGCCACTCGTCCAACAACACCTTTTGTCATTGGAAGTCTAATTTCCGACAAATCGCCGGCATTATCGAACACGTTCGCAACCAGCTCCTTGTGCTCATTATCCAATAAAAACAACGAACACCTGCAATCAATAGAGAATTCGAGATAAACAACGTCAAAGCCCAGTGTTCCCCCTAAGCCATTTGGATATGTAATAACCACCAACAATCAATTATTGCACATCTG